CCTGTTCCACAGTCTAGGACCCGGGAAGTGACGGGAACTGAGACCTGAAAGATAGGCAGGCACTGGTTAGGTGAAGAGGGGAGGGGAGAGCAGTATTGGAAGAGGCAAGAGCCAGTGCCAAGGTCCTGAGGTGGGAGCCTGTCTGGTCTGTTTGAGGGACAGTGAGGCAGCCTGTGTGGGCGGAGCAGATGGAAGGAAGGGGTGGGAAGTGAGGGCAGAGGAGTAATGCAGGGCCCTGTGGGCCACCACAAGGAGTGGGCTCTTCCTCTTACTGAAGAGGAGACTGAGGGTCAAAGAGGAGAAGTGACTCGTCCAAGGTCAGCCAGTCAAAATTAGGAGGTGGCACAGCCAAAAGGAGAACCCAAATCTGCCTCCCAAGGCCCACTTTGCTATCTCCCAGGGTACCCTCTGTCACGTGGCTTCCTCTCCACTCTCCTCAACAGCCCAAGGTGGTCTGGATGAAAAACAAGATGGAAATCAGCGGAGATCCCAGGTTCCTGATGAACAACTACCTGGGGGTCCTGACGCTGAACATCCGCCGCCCGTCCTCCTTCGACTCGGGGACTTACTCGTGCCTGGCCGTCAACGAGCTGGGGGAGGCCCTGGCCGAGTGCAAGCTGGAAGTCCGAAGTGAGCGTGGGGCGGCCCCCAGTGCACCCCTGCCCGACCCTCATCCACTTCCTTTACCAAGCTAACGGGAGGCCGGTGCTGAGCAGGGCTGAGACCAGAGCCTAGGCAGACCCGGGCCCTCTGGGAGTATGATTGGGGAGCCAATTCAGACCCCAGCAGGATGTTTCAGGGTGACACGTGGGAGAGGGAAGGCAGCACAGGGTATTGTAGGGGTGGGGGAGGGAGAGCGCCTGACCCAGCCTGGGCAGGAGTCTGAGGTTTTCCAAAGGAGCTGAAGGACAAATAAGAGGTGAATGAGGGCGAGAACTTAGCAAATGATCGCTAAGGCTTCCAGTGTGCCTGGGGAGGTGTGTGGCACAGCACTGAAACCAACATGGGTAGTGGCAGAGGACGGGGGGCTGTGGGAGCCCCGAAAAATGAGCCCCGTCCAAAGCCTGTCCCTGTCCTCCTCCTGTCCCCACCTCTCTGCCCCACAGCCCCAGCCTCATCGGTCCTTCTTCCTGAATTCTGCCCCAGCCTCCTCTCGGGCCTCAGGGCCTCCAGTCTCTCTCTCCGGTTCCACCTCCGGGCCCTAGAGGGTGCCTGGCCCATATCCACAGTTGACCTGCTCACAGGGCTCCCCAGCAGCCCCGGAACCCTTCATCCTGGGGTCATGGTCCTGCCTCTGCCACCCCCAGCCCCTCTCCAGCCTCAAGCGCCCCCATTTTCCAGCCACACCGAGCAGTTGGCGGTTGGACAAACTGGTTGTGCCTTCTCCTGCTCCTGGGGCTTTGCACATGGTTTTCCCTCTACCCAGAATGCTCTTCCTTGCATCCTCTGCCTTGGGCTTCAGTCCAGCAAGCATCCACCAGCCACGACTCGTGGGGAGGCCGCTAACGAAGTCCCTCAGAGGCGACTGACGTTCATAGGGACTTCCAGAGTCCCTCCTTGGCTCTGATGACAGCCCAGTAGACAGAAGGGGCTGCAGACCCTTAGCAAAGCGTCCAGAGGAATCACTCCAAGCACCTCCTGCCTGTCATTCTGAGGCACTGATCTGCCAGGCCGACCTACTGATAATTCCTAGGGTTCTGCCGTCCCCCTTATCAACTATTGAATCCGTTCAGAAATATCCCTACTTCAGGATTCCAGTGACGGCTGGTCTCCAGCAGCTGCTCTGTAATCAGAACGTCCCAGTTTGGGGTTCCAAACTACAGGAATCAGGGCTCTATGGAGTTGGGTTGACCAGGTGCCGAGCTAGGTGATGAAGGGAAAACCTGCTCCCCGTGCTGGTCAAGAGAATCCAGCAGGCACGGGCCCGGGGGCAGGGGCGGGTGGTGGTGGGACAAGCATTTTTACCACCCTTTTCTGTTTTCCCGCCACAGTGCCGCAGTGAAGCGCTCTCTTCCACCTGCCAAGACAATTGGCTGCTGAGTCCTAACCCAGGCCTCCCCCAACACGCTTCCCTTTCCCGAGTTATCCATGAGAAAATCATAGTCTTCTCTTGGACTCCCATATGTCTGTCCTTCTTGAGTCTGTAGCTCCGCCTTCCTCCTCCTGTAGGGCTTAGTCACCTGGGGCTGGGTGATGGGGACAGCCAGGTTGGAATGGCAACCACGATGACGCAGCCCTGATGAAACAGACCACATTGAGGCCGCCATCTTGGAACAGCTGCTTTAGCGAGGCTACCGCGTTGCCATGGCAACTACAAAATCACGGGTGGACCTGACACCCTGTCGGGGCAGCCCTGTTAGACGAGCTACTGTGAGTGGGGAGGAGGTGGGCTGGCTGCAGGGGCCAGATGCAGTGGGCAAAGAAGAACCGAAGGCCAGACTGGGGAGGGCTACTCTAGTGAGGTAGCCACGATGGAATGGTGGGCGCTGGGCCTCAGCAGTGGCCTGAGGAGCCAGACACCGTGAACAGAAGACCGCGCTGGGGCAGTCATACTGGAAGAGCTATTTCTGCCATGTTGAATCGGAGACGATGGGGAAACTGCTCGTGACCGGGTTGTTGGTTCTTAAGTGGCCAATCTTTATTAACTTTAATAATTCATCTGTCCGGCCCTGAGGTAGGGTACACTTTAATCTCTGGTCTTTTAGTGACCTCAAAATAATGTTGGAGGAATCAGTCCCCAGAGTTCAGAGGTCTGTGGGTCCAGTCTGGCTTCCATGGCTTGAAGCTGGGTACAAGAGTCTGTCTCAGAGGCCTTGACTGCGGATGCACCTGCCGTTCGGGGGTGGGTGAGTGGGCCCTCTGTACTTCCTGGGAAGGCCTGGGGAGCAGGGTGTCTCAAGAGGAAGAGGCCCCATACGTTCCAGTGTCCCCACCTTCAAGGACTGGGCCATTTCCCCTCCCCAGGCCTTACACGGAACTGGCATCTTGTCTGGCTGACCCCACTCCTTCAGGGCCTGGGCACTCCCTCCCCAGATCCCACCATGCTAGGTCAAGGGGAGCGAGGCTGGGGTCGGGGGATGCCCAGTTAGGAAACCATCACCACCTTTGCTGGTGCGCCAAGGTCCTGCAGACCTTGCCCTGCTTTTGAGAGCCTCCTGTCCTCTGGGTACAGATGCCACACCCTGTCAGGACTTAGGAGTCTGGGCTCCTGGTCACCTCCACTCTCAGACCCAGGATCCAGGCCCCCAGCCCCTCCCCATTCAGACCCGGGAGTCCCCGGCCCCAACCCCTCCTCCCTCAGTCCCAGGAGTCCCGCCCCCAGCCCCGCCCATGCCCCTCTCCCCCCTCCTTGCAGCCCCGCCCTGCTCCGCTCACCTCCTCCGCTCACTTCCTCCTGCTCGGACCCTCGTCCTTGTCGTCCTCCAGCACCGAGTACTCCTGCGTGAAGGGTACGGCTCCTTGGGCCGAATGGAAGCGCAGTTGGTAGAGCAGCCGCACCCACTGGCCGAACTTGCGGTCGCGGGTCTCCGGCGGGGCCCGCAGCTGCAGGTAGAAGGCGCGGCCGGTGCGGAACTTGACCTTCAGTTGCCAGCGGCTTTCGTCGTGGACGAAGAGCTGGACGAACTGCAAGGGGAACAGCCTGGCGGGCGGAAGGGGCGGCCTCAGCGTCTTATCCTCCCCGGCTTCGCAGCGCCCACCCCAGCGCCCCTCTCCCCGCCCGGAAGGATCCTTTTCCACTTTCTCTGCCTCTTGCATTTTATCCATCCCCAATTTTCTTCCATACACAGAGCCCATCCGTGTCTCCCGCTGGTCCTCCCTCATAAACGCGAAACTCAGATTGCGGCTTACTTGAAATTTCCATTTGTATGTTGGATCGACATCGGACATAAAATGTCCAACAGCCAAATTCCATAAAATGACCTTCCGCCAACCCCAAAGCTACACCTCTTCGTCTTCCCCACCTTAACATCCTCCTCCCACTTGCTCGGTCAGAAACCGCGGGAGGCGACTTTTTGCCATTCTCAGCCAATCCTACCAAATCCTGATGGCTCCACCGTTAAACCGTAGTCACAGTCCGACGATTTCCAAGTCCCTCCACCAGCCGCCCCCGACCCCCGCCGTCCAGCCACCGTAATTTCCCGCCTTCACCCCCAGTCTGTTCCCACGCGGCCGCCAGAGGGCGCCAATCAATACCCGCGTTAGCTCAAATCCTTCCCGGGGCTCAGAGTAAAAGCAGAGTCCTCGCCTTGACTACAAGGCCCTGCGGGATCTGCCCCCTTTGTTCCCTCTCTGCCCCCCCATCCCCACCCACTCTCCTAGCTTACTCGGCTCCAGCCATACTGGTCTCACTGTCCCATAAACACCTGCCAGGCTTGGTCCTACCTCAGGACCTTTGCACAGGCCGTTCCCTCTGTCATCCTCCAGCCTATATACAACTACATTCGCCCTTGCAGACCTCCCCATGCCCACCCCCATGCCCCATCTGTCTCCACAGACCTCACCCACTGGACAAATTGACATCTATTCTGTCTGCTTTCCTAGTAGAAGGTGGGCTTGAGGGCAGAGATTTTGGGTCCAATTTTGTTCAGTGCTGCTTCCGTAGTACCCAGAGCTGACCCATGGTCAGTGCTGAGTGAAGGCTTGTGGAGTATCTGAATAAAGGAATTGCTCAGGCCCCCAGCCTGATTCAAGGTCCAACAAGGCAATGGAGGAAACAATCCAGACAGGATGGGTAACTTGGCCCAGATCACACAGCAGGGATTTGAAGCCAAGTCTTACCTATGTTCTTAACAACACTGGGTAGCCACATACGACTCCCCTCAGGCCCTGCAAGGCTACCTCTAGAAACTGGTCTTACAGACACCCTCGCAGCTGAGCACATGGATGTCCCCCGCCTGCCACACTGGTTGTCACCCCAAGGCACAGGACACATCAGAGTCCCTCAGTAGGCAACTCGATCTATTAGTATGTTCCCCAAATGGAAGAATAACAGCTGACATTTCCAGAGCGCATACTCTGTGCCAGGTGCTGTTCCAAGAGTTTTACAGACATTTACTTAGTTTATCCCCTGACAGCCCTGGAAGGTGGGCTCTCCTCTTATCCTCATGTTGCCGATGAGGAAACCAGATGGGTAGGCCCAGATGGGTAGGAAACTTGGCCAAAGACAGTGAAGAAGAGGTGAAGCCAGGATTTGAAACCAGGCCGTCGGAAGGCAGCCATTCGTTCAAGGACACTCCCTATTACATCATCACAGCAAGAGGCTGGATGCAAGCTAGGTGTCCAAGGGGACGGAGTTTGTTGAATTGTGTGTGTCCAAAAGTGGATCTGTGTGCACTGGCACAGAATCACTCAGGGCTGGAAGCTGGTTAGAAGTGAGGGGCTGGGGGATGTGTCTTGAGGCTGAGTTCGCAGAGCAAGCTCAATGATTTTACTTCGATGGTATGTTTTGTCTGGGGCTGGGAGGGGAGAATGCTGAATGAGATGATGAGGGTCAAAACCCCCCTCTCAGCACCATCCTTAGCATCCTTCCAACTGCAGGTTCTGACTCATATGGTGGGATACAATTAGCATTGAAAAGAAAAGGAAGATGGTAGAGAATGTCCCAGTACAAGGTTCCGGCGTCAGAATACTGCTTTGTGAAATGTTTTAAACTTATTTGGGGGGGATAAATAAAGGCTGTAAGTGGCATCAAGTTTGTTCAGGTCAGAAGCAGATTCTACCACAAAATGAGTTACATCCAAAATTGCAGACAAAGGATTGTGTGCGTGTGTGCGTGTGTGCGCATGTGACAATGTGACTCCATCCTTCCTTCCTTCCTTCCTTCCCTCCCTTCCCCCGTCCCCCTTTCTTTCATTATCTGTGAGATGTAGCCAAGAAGTGAAAGCCACCAGCAGAATGTTTCTGGAAATATACTCTATGCCTGTAAATGTCTTGGTATTTGCAGCTGGAGTTGGAGACAGGAGCCTAGGGTGGAAGAAAGGTGTATTTTGTGCTATGTGTGTTTTGTACCTTGGAGTGTATTTGCATTACTTTTTCAATCAAAAAAACAAAGACCTGAAGGGGCAGTGTGGAGTGTGGCCCAGGAGCTCCAGAATCGTGAGGTCAGCAATCCTGAGGACCCCAAGGTTCTGATCCCAGGCCACCCCTGACCCACTGTGGGACCCTGGGCAAGTGGCTCCCCTCTCTGGGCCTCAGTTTTTCTTATGGATGGGCCTAAGGGGCCCCACCATATGACAGTAGGAGGTCAGAGAAGAGATGATGTGCATGGTCAAGGGGACGCCTGGCATGCAGTAAGTGCTGCATAAATGGTCATTCTCCTGATCCCTGCCAGGGTGTAGCTGAGGACAGTCCCCCTCATGTCTATCTATCCCTGATTCCTGGCTCCTGTGGATGGCCCTGTCCTTGTTCTCCTGGGTGGACAGTAGCCCAGAGAAGGCTAGCAGCCATCCATGGCTCCTGGCCCTGGAGGTCGTGTGGGTGAAAGGAGGTGCTGCAGGGGGCCTAGGATGCCCAGAGCTTGGGAGGAAGGAGGTCTAGGCTGGGGTGGGGGCAGTCACCCGAAGAGCTGCAGGCGTCCATTCTCCTTGGCGGGGCCCGCCAGAAGCAACAAGTCTGGGAGTTCCAGGGCTGGACTGGAGGCTGCCACCCCCATGGTGACCCTGTTGGCAACTTCTCCTAACCGGGTCACCTGGGGACGGGGGGCGGGGGGGGTGTCAGAGGTTAGAAGCCAGATAGATGGGGGGCGGGATTGGGGAGGAATCAGGAATTTTTTTAGGGTTAAGGGTCAGGAACCAAGTAAGTTAACCACCAAGATGGGGATCAGAGATCCTGGGGTCAAAGGTCAAGAGTCATATGGGTATGAAGTCAGGGAAAATGGACCGAGGGAATCAAAGGCCAGGGTTCATAGGGAAGCAGGAATTTCAGGAGGTGGGCATTAGGGGGAGTGATCAGAAATAGGGCGAACAGAGGTTCCCCAAGTCAGGAGGCCGGGGCTCAGGCCTGGGCTCGGAGGGCCCTGGGGCTCCACACCTGCACGAAGTTGCTCTCAAAGATGGGTAAATCCCGCAGCTGGTCGAACTCGCCGCTCAGGAGATGGCGCTGGAGCCGTCCCGGCCGGCGCGTGGGACAGGCTGGAAACAGGGGGCGTTCTACATGGGCGGCAAAGTTCGCAGGTCTGCTCCAGGAGGCTGGGCCAAGGTCCCAGGGTCAGCCCCGCGCTGAGGGTAGAGGGTTCCCGGCTACCGGTCTCCGTATCGCAGGCTCCATCCCTCACCTGGTTCCCTCAACTGGTCCAACCCCTCCAGGCCCGGCTCCGCCTCTCACCTGCCATCCCACCTGGTCCCGCCTCGCCTGCTCCACCAGGAGCCGGCTTAGGCTCGTGCCTCCGTTTCATCGCAACGCCCCGCCCCTTGGGGGGAGCGGAAGGAGGTGCCCACGGAGAAAAGGGAGGGCGGGGCCCCGGACTCTGTGACGTCACAACGCGGCGGACCGGGTTTGCGTCACGGAGGAGACGTCTGCGATTGTGGCGTCATCCAAGGGGCGGTGCCCGGAGGCCCGGATGGAGCGTCGCCCGCCCCGTGACGTCAGACGCCGGTAGCGGGCGGGCGCTAGTGCGCAGACGCAAAGAGCCGGCGCAGGCGCACGGGCAACCGGTTGCGGGCCGTTCCTCCCGGCGTGCTCCGCGGCGCCCGGCTCACTCCAGCCCCTTGGCTGGTGGGACGGGTTCGAAATGGCCGCGCCCAGCGCTGGGGCCACTCGGCTGCTCCTGCTCTTGCTGATGGCGGCAGCAGCCCCCAGCCGGGCGCGGGGTAGTGGTTGCCGGTCCGGGGCCGCTGTGCGGGGGGTGAGTGCTTATTCGCTGTGCACATAGGGCAGGGTTGACGGAAATCGTGGGTCTCGGGCCTTTAGGTCGGTTAAGGTGGGAACGAAGTTGCGCAGGACCGACAGGGAAGACGAGGTAAAAGCACCGTTCAAAGCGAGGCTGCAGTTCTGCGCATTCATGAGGCCGCACAACTGGGAGAAAGCGAGAGGATAGTTAGGAAGGCTCTAGCTCGTGAATATGCATGAGGGGGCGGGGCTTCTTATGGGATTTTGCCATCCCCTCTCTGGGCCTTAGTTTTTCTTATGGGTGGGCCTAAGGAGATCCCTAATGGGATCCCTAATCCCATTTTGGTTTTGTATTTTTTATTGTTTGCGGTACGCGAGCCTCTCACCCTTGTGGCCTCTCGCGCTGCGGAGCACAGGCTCCGGACGCGCAGGCCCAGCGGCCGTGGCTCACGGGCCCAGCCGCTCCGCGGCATGTGGGATCCTCCCGGACCGGGGCACGAACCTGTGTCTCCTGCAGCGGTAGGCGGACTCTCAACCACTGCGCCACCAGGGAAGCCCCCTAATCCCATTTGGGGATGGGACTTTGGTACCTGGGCGTTGGGTGCGGTGAAAACGAAGCTGCACTGAAAGAGAAAGTTGGGGCAAGAACTTCCTTAACCTTCGGACGCTAGGGATCCGCAGTCATGAATATGTTTGAGGAGGTGTGGCCCGGGTGGAATCTTGGCAAATCAGACCTTGGGGTGGCTAAAATTAAAGAGGTGGGGGGAGGCTCTCGGAGGAGTTCCGCCTCCCGAATATGCATGAGGAGGGCGGGATCTTGAGTTCGCGGATTAAAATCTGGAACGAGGTAGCGCAGGCTTGAGGGCGTAGAGAGGAGGATGCAGAGTTAGGAGAGATGTGGAGAGTTGGAGAAAAGAAAGGCATGGAATCTTGAATGTGCTTGAGAGGGGTGGAACTCGGGCGGCATCGTGGCTATTGGGGCTGTGAAGGTGAAAACGAGGTCACTTGGATATTAGCTTGGGAAGGATGCCTTTTAACTCATGAATAGTTATGATGGTAGTGTGCAGGTGACCTGGAGATAGTTGCCTTGGAAACGAGGTTCCTCTACTTTGCAGGCTGTAGTTTTCTCTGGCCCGTCCAGATCATGAATTTTCATGAAATGGGCGGTTCCCGGTGGAATAGTGGGCAAGCGTCAGTGTTTGGATATGGGCCTGAAAATAAGGCTTCTGCCGCAGCCTGCGGGTCTGTCTGTCCTGGGGTCCGCGGGTCCTGCCAGACTGAGGGCTCTGATTGTCCTTACCTGGGGCCCTCTCTATCACCTGCAGGCGGGGGCGGAAGGTCGAGAGGGTGAGGGCTGCGGCGCCGTGGGGCTGCTGCTGGAGCACTCATTTGAGATCGGTGAGTCCAGCAACGTCCTGACCTGGACACTTACCCAGTGCCCTGTGTCAGGAACTCAGGTGCCACTCAGTGTGAGACACGCCATCCATTCACTTACAGCTTTGCACTTGGAAGTGTGTTTGCATTACACTGGGGAGATGGGGGGCGGCGGCGAACAGAAGCTCTGTCTTTGAATACTCCCATACCTGTAAGACAAATGCCAGTTCCAGAAAGGTCAGTATGGCAGTAATAACCTCAGAGCAGACTTTGACCAATTGCCCCATGCCCTGCTCTAGTGGTTATATGTATTAACTCAAACATCTGTATTAACTCAGACATCCTCAGAATAGTCACCCAAAATAGGAGGTGTTAGGGATAGCCTCATTTTCCAGAAGAGGAAACTGAGGTGCAGAGGGATACCAGACAAGGTCCTTTTACAAGTCAATGGTAGAGGTGGGACCTTCTCTAAAGCTCAGCTTAAACTGCCACATTTCAGGCATCCAGACTCCCAGAGCATAGATGTCAGTGTGGCCCAGGGGTTCATAATCGAGTCTGAGGCCCCAGGCTCTGGGGTCACCTGTTTTAAACACTGAAGCTTGGACCCTCTGCAGACCTCCCCAGTCAGACCCTGGCATCTGCCCAAGAAAGCCCGGTGGTTGGGAGCTCCTGAGCTCTGCAGCCCCTGTATTCCACAGCTGGGGAAACTGAGGCCCACTTAAGTCACGTGAGCGACCCTGGGTCACCTGGCAAGGCAGAGGCAGGGCTGCAGAGACACGTGGGGCTCTGGTGGGAAAATGGGGGCTCAGGATGGGGAAGCGACCTGGTCACTGCGAGGGTTGACGTCCAGGCTCCCGCACAGATGATAGTGCCCACTTCCGGAAGCGGGGCTCGCTGCTCTGGAACCAGCAAGACGGCACCTTGTCTTTGTCGCAGCGGCAGCTCAGCGAGGAGGAGCGGGGCCAGCTCCGGGTGAGGACGGGACCCCCGCTCTGCTGGGGCCGGGGGCACGTGCCTCAGAGCACAACACGCGTACTTCGGGGCCTCTGCCTGAGCTGTTTCCTCTGCGCAGCACACTCTCTTCCCCACGGTTTTCATACAGTCAGCTCCTCTCGCTCTGCTAGATTCAGCCAAGATGCTTCACACTTAGTGCAAGATTTGCTTGTGAGGAGAAAGGGATGCCCGCGGTAGCCGTGGTTAAGCAGGAGAACGTTACCTCTCCTGTCGCCCTGCTTTGTGGCCTCCTCAAGGGCTGGGTTCCCCCCAGGCCCACCTGGGTCCTCCCTAGGGATGGTGTGGGGCTGGCGGGGGCGGGGGGGGGGGGGTTCCAGACAGCAAGG